GTTAATTAATTTGTTTAATTATGTTTAATTGGTTTAATTAGAAGAAATTAGTTAATTAAATGTAAATTTTTTGTTAATTAAGTGAATTTAATTTTTATTTTAAATTTAATTTGGTTAGAATTAGAATTAATTAAATTAATTTGATTTATGTTTAGTTAATTAATTAAGTTAATTATGTTTAATTGGTTGGATTAGAATAAATTTTTTACTTAATTGTTGTTTTTGTTAATTATTTATAAATTTTTTTGTTAATTAAGTTAATTTAATTTTTATTTTAACTTTAATTTAGTTAGAATTATAATTAATTAAGTTAATTTGAATTATGTTTAGTGAATTAAATAATTAATTTGTTAATTAAGTTTAATTGGTTGGATTAGAATTAATTTGTTAATTAATTTTTAATTTGTTAATTAAATGTAATTTTTTTAATTAAGCTAATTTAATTGTTAATTTAAAATTAATTTGGTTAAAATTATAGTAAATTAAGTTAATTTTAGTTATGTTTAGTTAATTAATTAATTAGGTTAATTATGTTTAATTAGTTGAATTTCAATAAATTTGTTAATTAATAACAAAATTGTATGAGTTTCAACATATATGAACCTTTTGTTTTAGCGGCACAAACGGCTCAAGTATATTATGTAGCGTATCCTAGCATAATGTGCGATCATTGGGATTGGTGGGGTGTTTGTAAGATAAAAGCTAGGGTTGTGGTTGATTTACTAGAATCTTCCGGTAAAGTCCAATAGAATGAAGATCCATTTCAAGAGGACACTTCGAAAATGGTTCATCCATCATCGGATCTAGTAGACTTATTTATTATTTTAATAACTTTGGAGCACTTGCAATCAACGCAAGAAGTAACTTCTAAAAAACAATGAGTGATGCATCGTCTCAAGATCTTTACATGTCCAAGATATATTTGAATGTTGTCGAAGGAGAGAAGAAGCGAGAGAGTATACAACATTGGAAATTATGCATCCCGATGTTACTCGCATTTTCACGTCGACTGCTTCCGTCACATAGCAATATCCTAGTGGTAATATCCGGGAGGTTTCTACCTAGTATGAAGACTAAATCAAATGGATAGGGGCTACCATTCAACAACGAGCCAATAAATTGGATAGCATGCACACTCGGTTGTAGAGAGTTTTAGGGTTGTTGGAGAACCTCCAATCGCCTTCCGTCCCTCCTGCCGACCTTCTTATAACCCAACGAGTCAGTCATTCCTCTTAATAGCCAGCAGTTGAAAGATGATGTAAGAGATGGTGATAATAAGGATTATTTAAAAAAAAAAAAAAGTATTAATATTTTTATAGATCTTAAAGCATTCATATTTATTTTATAATTAATATAATTTTAATTTTATTTGATAATATAGCGTATTTTAATATGGTGTTATTTATATTTATTTGTTATTAAAATTATCAATAAATAGTTTTTTATTAAAAAAAAATAGCAATGGATTAGTGATGAAATAAAGATGATTATTAGCAATCGATGAATATTAAGTCGCTAAATAGTGACAAAATTGAGAGAATATTAGTGACAACATAATTCGTCACTAAATAGTGAAAATAACGATGGATATGACACACCAAAGACAACTTATTTAGAACCATTTAGTGACGGAATATCAACAAAATAGCAATGGAAAATCCATTGCTAAATAGCCATGGAAAAAAAATTTTCGTTGCTAAAAAAATAGCAACCACCCCTTTAGCGATGGATTAGATTTTGTTTCTAATATGTCGCTAAAGTCATTTAGTGACGAAATAATATATATATATATATATATATATATATATATATATATTGAAGCTTTTGGAAGTAAATCCTTTTAGCTGTAAATTTATCTTTTCAATCATAATATAAACTGATTTGCTTTTGATTAAAGGCAAACGCTAGCAAACGAATGCCCTTAGTACAATCGTTAAGCATTATTTACTGTAAATGCACCTGATTTATTGTTAAATTATGATCAAAATGTATAAAAATTAAATATTTGAGTGAAAATAAATAGTATTGATTATAAATATTAAATAGTTGTTATTGTTTAATGCTGTTATTTTATATAATAATATTTTTAAGAATTAATAATAAATTTTATAACTAAAAAAGAAATGAAGATTAATTTGAAACATTAAATAACTCTTAAAAAGTGCCATAAGGACACTAATTAATGCCGTACTCTTGACTAAACATAGTTATTTGCTTTTAATTAGAGCAATGCAGGCCACCCTAGCTAATCAATGCCGTCCAGCATGACTTGCATATATAATTACTTCTAGTTTTTTGGTTGTTGAAAATTTACTTTCCACTTGGAGCATTCAAAATTTTCTCATGCCTCCCTCTTGTTTCCAATGAATGAAACCCCTTAATTTCCATTGGTTAGGGAATAGAATTCTGATTTCTGAAACAACACATGCGTATAAAAACATAATTACTTGCTCAAATTGTATCAGGCATGACAATATTGCATGGACGGGATCCTAATTAATTAGTACCAAAACTTAACTGACAGCTCCTGTAATATATAGCTAGTCGAGAAGTTTGCAATGCTAGCTAACTATTTTTCTGATTCTCATAAGATCTATTGGCAAGTCATACATGAGCTTCCAAAATCCAAGCTCTTCAAGGTTGCAGCATAGTGAAAACTATGATGCAACTAAAGACTAATTGTACAAAGTAGTCTTGTTAATTATTCTAGACAGGTCGTGAATATCTTTCAAAACTGTTAAAAGGATTGTCAAATAAAACTTCAGAAAACAAAATTGATTTTAGAATGAGGAAAATACTTAAAACTGTAAATAAGATTAAAAAAAAAAAAAAATTACCTTGTTGGAATTTACCTTCTAATACAGATAAGTTGGTCTTGCAAATAGATACTTCAAATGGATTTTCACGTGTAGTATCAAAATAAAAAGAAGAGGCCCTGAAAATGAATTATCCAATTCATGAAAAAGAGGTTAGTTGTTAAAATTAGAATTAAGTATTTTTATATCTTTCATGCTCGTAAGATCGTTAAATTCTATAATTGATCAATTAAATCAAATAGTTTATTCTTTGAATACTTTTTTCTCTTAAAGGTAAAAGAACTTATTCTAAGATAGAATAAGATAAAGTGAATTTGAGGAAATATTTCCTCAAGAACAAATCTATTTTTAGATTTTTTGCAAGTTTACGGTATTCTAACGAATGCAAAAAACTAAACAAAAAATCAAAAAATACATTATTTATTATGATATTTGATTTTAATTTCTGATTATATTTATTGTGATCAAATAATCAAACTTACTTTATTTTAAGTTTGTATCAAAGTATTCGAAAAGGTAAATTCATGGAAAAAAATTATACAGGAGGATGTTTATAATTTTTATTGATGCTATAGTTACATATAATAGAGAAACTATAATTCATAACATATCATATTTATAATTTAACCTTTGATTATATCTATTTTCATCATATATCAAACTAATTTAAATTTTAAAATGAAAAACGCCAAATAAGCTTTTTAATTATTATTAAAATAACTCATGTCCAGATGCATTCAAATGAAAATGAAACTTGTTTTTTTATATATATATCTTTTTATTACTTTTATTTTATAAAAAAAAAATTGAATTTTCTTATAACAACATGATTTGGAAAAATATTATTTCAATTTTTTTACGATGGCTATAGATGCATCAGTATGATTTTTTAGTGATTATTAATTTTCAAGAGCGCTTATGATAAATATAAATATGCCTTTGATTATTGAAAGTAAGTCAAGCAAACTAATTTAATTATAAATTATCAAATTTTATATGAAATTATGCAAAAGTCTAAAATCAAACTTTTCAATATATATATATATATATATATATAAGCTAGTGTATGCGTTTTTAGGACCTCGTCGTTTTAAAATTTAAATTTGTAGATTAGTTGGATTTTTAACATGATACCTTTTCAATTAACCAAACGATCAGAAGTACGCAAGAGATAATGTGATATGAAAAAAAAAAACTTATTCTTAAAACCTCATCTATCAATTTGAAGCTTTTCGAAGTAAATCCTTTTAGTTGCAAATCTATCTTTTAGATTACAATAGAAACTGATTTGCTTTTGACTAAAGGCAAAAGCTAACGACTGCCATTAGTACATCGGTTAAACATTATTTTAATGTAAATGCACTTGATTTATTGTTATGAATAAAAATAAAATATTTGACTATTAAAAATGATCAATGTTATTGATTATAAACTAATATTAAATAGTTGTTATTTTATATAGTAATATTTTTAAGAATTAATAATAAATTTAATGGCTAGAAAAGAAATGAAGAATATTGATTCGAAGCATTAAATATATAACTCTTAATAAGTGCCATAAGGACACACTAATTAATGCCGTATTCTTGACTAAACATAGTTATTTGCTTTTAATTAGAGGAATGCAGGCCACCCTATCTAGCTAATCAACTAATGCCGTCCAGCATGATTTGCATATATAATTACTTTTAGTTTTTTCGGTTGTTGAAAATTTACTTTCCACTTAAAGCATTCAAAATTTTCTCATGCCTCCCTCTTGTTTCCAATGAACGAAAACCCTTATTTTCCATTGGTTATGAAATAGAATTCTGATTTCTGAGACAACCCGTGCGTATAATTAAAAACATAATTACTAGCTTACTCAAGTTGTATCAAGCATGACAATATTGCATTGGCGGGATCCTAATTAATTAGTACCAAAACTTAACTGACAGCTCCTATAATATATATATGTATATATAGCTAGTCAAGAAATTTGCAAAGCTTGCTAACTATTTTCTGTTTCTCATAAGATCTATTGGCAAGTCATACATGAGCTTCCGAAATCCAAGCTCTCCGAGGTTGCAGAAAAGTGAACTACGATGCAACTAAAGACTAATTTTACAACATGGTATTTGACAATGGGGTTATTGTCCAGCATCAAGCATACTCGACGACCAAACTAAAACCGTGCGCCCATAAGAACTAGGAAAAGCTTTGGTGAGTGTGAAAGCCCTCGTAGGTTGTTATTACATAGCTTGGATCATCTCTATCTCTTTCTACTCTCTTCTTCACGGGGCAGCCTTCAACTGAGCACCTATAGTAATTCCTGGTAATCATCACATGATTTATAAGCTCATTCTCACATTATCACGATTTACTCTTACTTTGGTCCTCAATAATCAAGATATGTCTGGCATTCCATCTCTTATATATATGCTAGCACCTATATCTATATATATTATAATAGGTAGTATTTATTTTCTTAGTGAAAGATAGAGAGAATATTTGGCATCAGGTAATTTTATGTGGAATATATATATATATATATATATAGCCTAGCTATCCCAAAACCAAAACATACGGTATGTCCGATATAAAGCATAGCACTTAAAATACCTTGGGTTTGGACTATTCTTCACCATCTTTTTGCCGTATTTCCTCCACTTGTACCCATCATCTAGTATTTCAATCTCCGATTTTGTTTTGAATGCAACCCTTTCTTTGGCTTCCTTCTTCTCTCGTCCTCCTTCACCCTCTCCTAACACACAAGCAAGCAATTAATTAATTAGTACCACAAGTTATCAACATCTTACAGCAATGACAAAACTGCTAGTGTTGTATCGCAGCTTCTGGATATGCATATGCTTACTCATGACTTTGCTTACCACCACTTAGCTCTTCACGAGGGCTGCTACTTCCAGCTGACTCGCCAACAACATGCGCTCGATAAACCGGATTGTGGGCAGACCCAGAAGCCATAGATGATGGAGCATCTTCTAACTCTATCCATTCATCGAACGTCAAGAATTCTGAGAGCTCAAAATTGGACAGCTGGTCGGGAGCATAGTCACTCAGCTGAGTTGTATCCTGCTGTGTGCTATACTTAGGACTAGACATCTTAGTATAAAAGATTAGATGAACTTTTTTTTTTTCTCTGATCACCAAAGCAAGAAAACTGAATGTTCAAGGTCTACATGTATTATAGAATTAGTCAGCTAGTGTCTCCATTTATAACAAACTAGTGTTGTCTGCTTCGTTATGACCTTCCTGTGACCACGTAGGAAACTTCAATGTTAATGCCAAGTGACCGGGGATGGAGTAGATTGTTGGGCCCAACATTTACCTTCTTGAACATGAAATGGTGGTGGGGCATACCAAAGATGACTTGAAGGAAGACTTAACGCTTGATTTGTGTAAATTGGGCTTTAGGTCTCGTGGTTAGACCAACCCCTTCACAACGGGGAAGATTACTACAGGTCAAAAACCTTTAAGTGGTTTGAGAGCGATAGTTATTCAAAAAAAAAAAAAAAAAAAAAGGATTAATATATTATTTCATCAAACACAACAAAAGCATCTTGTGTGAAGATTACTAAACTAGGCAAGGGTTGAGCTGGAAATTTATTTTAAGAGGACCAATGTACGTATTTATTAAAATCAAACAAATATTCAAGCTTATCAAAAATGGATTTGAAAGTTATATATTAAGGACTAAGTTGTAATTTTTTTATATCATGAGGGTCTTAGAGGCCTAGCAATAAGAAAATTTGGTCGGCGACAGGTATGTAAAGAATATGAAAGGAGGACAGATTTCTTACGTTTACATCGTATATGTCCTTCATGCCATAAGAATATGAGTTTCAAATTTATTTATTGCGTCTTAAATTTGCCAACTGTAAGAGATGAGCTAAGGCTATCAAAATCATAGATAGATGACAATTAGTGAAGAATATAATTACATCAACAGACTTGTCAACGAATGTTCACATGTAGCTTACTTGAGAAAAAACGTAGTTTTATATATATACACACGATGATGGTTTTATGACCTAGTTTTGTTTCGTCGCTTGAATCGTATTCGTTTTAATGGATTTTGGACACATAGAATTTGAACGGATGCGCTAGAAATTCAAAATTCCGAGACCATAAAGGGTTTTCCTTTTTTCTTTTTTTAAAATGAAAAATTAAAGGTTATTTTCGAAGGCATTTGATGGGAAATTATTATTTTTTTTTTTAATATATCCGAAGGTTAATCTATCAAAATGACAGATAATATGTTTTTATTTCTCCAAAAGCATTAAGTCAGACAAGTAATAGATTACACCTATACAATTGTCAAACAGTACCCAACTATGATCTTCCAAATCAATGCCAAACCACCATCAACGTGATGACACCCTCTTGCTTGCTTGCGTAAATATGATAGACTGAAGTAGGAGGAAAAGAAAAGAAAAAAGAAAAAAAAACTCTTGACGGCATCTCTAATTTCCAGCTCACTGCCACCATTCAATGTAAATTTCTAACTTAAAAAGGTCCTATTGAGTAACCAAAGTAAACATTTGGAATCTTTGACAGTGGAGCCCCAATTCCAATTCTCTGGCCGACACATGACCATGTTTAATTGATTTTCTTCAATTCAATGCTTTAGGAGGATGTTAGACCTCATGACCAATTACTCAGAAGTTTATGAGTAACTTCCAGTTTAGAGATCCGATGTTGAAACTTCACTTTAATCTATTCAGTATTTAGTTCCATTTTTTCTATAACCAAAAAAAAAAAAAAAAAAAAGAGCAATTTTAAGATATTGTCTACACAGCAAGCTTGTATCAATTTCTGGCTGCGGAGGGGGCGAACGCAGAAAGCCCCCCAACCATATAGGTGGTTTAATTTTGCTTTCAAACAATTTTTTTGTATTAATTTTATTTTCAAATTTTCAGAAATTCTCAATAAGGACTTCCATCTATTTTTTAAGACTTTATATATATATATATATATATATATATATATATATATATAGAAGAAACGACATCATTTTTTATAGAGAAGTAAAAATAATTTATGGGCAAAATTGATACTATCTCAATAATTTGTAGGTATATTTGAGGTTTGTCTTTTTTTTTTTTTTTTAACAGCATGCATCAATTTCATTGGAAGAACACTACTGGACTAACATAGGGAGAAAATTATAAATTAGTTTTTCTAGTTTTACAAAATAAAATAAATAGTTGTTATTATTTTAAAATTAATTATTTATTTATTTTATTAATCAACGTTGATCATGATTAATTTAATATTTTCTTATTTCAAAAAATATTTTCTTTTTTTGTTAATTTTTCCTTATCTTTTACTTTTTTATTTTTTATTTATTAAAAATAAATAAATAATGAAAAAAAGATTAATTTACAAATAGATTTAAAAATATAAAGATCAATTAATTAGTTATTGAAACAATAGAGACTATTTAATTTCTTTTGAAAAACCAAAGGAAGTAATTTATAAATTACTCTTAGGTGTTCGTTTGGTAATCGGGAATAGAGTGGTGGGAATGGAAATGTAGGAATCGGAATGGTATTTGTATTCTCATACTGTGTTTGGAATACTAATGAGGAATCGGAATGCAATTTAAATTTTTTAATATTTGATTTTTTATATAAATAAGAATAATGATTAAAAAAATAATTTTATCAAACTATAATGATTGTAAAAATAATAAAAATGATGGTGGTGGTTATGACGGTAGTGGTTCTAGTTGTGGTAATGGTGGGGGGTAGTGGTTGCGGTAGTGGTGCTTGTAGTGATGGTGGCGGTGATGATTATGACGGTGGTGGTGATGATGATGGTAATGGTGGTAGTGATAATGATGGTGGTAGTGATGGTAATGATGATGATGATAATGATTGTGAGTAGTGGTAGTAGTGCTTGAGGTGGTGGCAATGATTGTGACGGTGGTAGTGGCGGCGATGGTGATAGTAGTAATAAAAGTAGTTAATAGGCAATAAATAAATAAAATATATTATTACTTTGAAAAAAAATGTCATTCTCATTTTTATTTTTATTCTCACATCTTATGTGAGAATAAAATTATGCGTAAATTTTCATTCATATTCTCACTTTATTCCTTTTAATTAAACAGTTATAATGTGAAAATAAAACATTTATTTTCATTTTCATTATATTATTTTTTATTATTAAACAGCACTTTAAGATAAGTACAAAATTTGATGGGAATAAATCTATCAATTTTAAGCATCTGTCCATTTCTTCGTTCGCCACTTGCCAGACCGCACTAACGTCAATAGTAATAACTTCCATTAAATTTGTCATTCTCATTTGAAGAACGTACAAGACGGCTGATCCTCTCCTCATATATCTCCAATGTAGGATATATATATTATTCAATAAAAAAAAAAAAAAAGTGTATTTCTATGTAGACCGACTCTCGATTGTTGTAGACTTGGTCCCAGAAAAAATCCTAAACGCTTTGGACCCTAGTACTATTCTCAATCCAAATCCCAAACGTCCTAAACTTGGTCCCGTATCGACTCCCAAATACACTGGACTTGGTCCCAAATCGATTCTCAAGCATTGCGAACCAAGTCCTGCTCAGAACTTGGCCACCCTTGACCACATCCCGACCCTAACCCCTGGCACCACGAAATAGGTGCCTACCTGAGTACCAGAATCTTGAGCGTTTCGAACCAGATCCCAACCCTAACCCCAAACATGATTCATATCCGTTTTTTTACTCTTAAACTCGATCTGACTTCCAAAACATACTGTGATAATATAATAATAATAATAATAATTTTAAAAAATCACTCTTTTTGGTTTTCAAAACTTGTTGTCAAATTTATTTTTTCAAATAAAAAAAACACAAACTATCAAACTTTCATATCTTATTTTTAAAAATTTGAAAACAAAAAGAGAAAACAAAAATGATACTAAACATCCATTTAAGTATAGGTATCCTCAACGACGGCCGGGCCTCAATTCCAACCACCTAGAACCCGGTCCTAGTCCGTATGATTGACGTTTATTTTTTTCACTCTTGAACCCCAACCAAACTCTAAAAATATATGGTAATAATATAAAACTATTTTTGAAAACTACAATTTTTGGTTTTCAAAACTTGTTGTCAATTTTATTTTTTCAAAAAAAAAAAAACAAACAAACAAGCTTTCATATTATTTTTTTCACTCTTGAACCCCAACCAAACTCTAAAAATATATGGTAATAATATAAAACTATTTTTGAAAACTACAATTTTTGGTTTTCAAAACTTGTTGTCAATTTTATTTTTTCAAAAAAGAAAAAAAAACAAACAAACAAGCTTTCATATCTTGTTTTTAAAAATTTAAAAACAAAAACGAGAAAACGAAAGAGAAAACGATACCAAACATTCCCTTAAATTTTCTTCTTTTTTCTTTCTATGTAAGTGTTTGCATTTCTATTTTCTTTTCTTTCTCTCTTTCTTCCTTTTTTTTTTTTTTTTAGTAATGCTAAATGTTAATAAAATATAATAAGGAAAAACTTTAAGAAAATACATAGTCCATTATATTAGGGGAACTACAATCGTGTTTCACTTTGAAATCATAATCCAATGGCCCATGTATTTTCTTGTAGTATTTTCTTATCATACTTTTTTAATGTTTGACATTACTCGTTTTTTTTTCTTTCCTTTTTTATTAAACTTGCAAACTTTCAAAATCTGTTTAGTCAAGTGTTTTTAGTACATTTTGCATATTATATATTGATGTGGTCATTAAATTAAAGGATAATGCGATTTTGAGTACTTGAATTTATCTAATTTTTATAATTGAGTGTTTGATTTTTAATTTTATTCAAATAAATGTATGATCTTTTTATTTTGAACAATAATGTGTCTAAATGAATTATAAGTTAGTCAAATACTTATGTGCATATTAAGTGATGAAATGGATAAGGACACCTAAGATGGAGAAACAAAATAAGAGGTCAAACACAAAAAGTTGGTTATTTTACAATTTACTTTCACTACAAAAAACCATAAAATAGCGACAGATAAACTTTTGTCGCTAAATAGAACAAATAGTGATAGAATAGCTTTTGTTACAATTAGCGATCGAATAATGATAGATAAG